ATTTTCAATATCTACGATGAAAATCATCAAACGAAATACCAGGCAATATTTAGAAATATTAGCCTACTATTTTTATCTGGATAGATAATCATTGAAGCGATTGAAGCGAGAAATAAATTATTTGTTTTCTGTCGTGAAGCTGATGCTAAACAATTTAGAATTAGTTCTCTACAAAAGAATGCGTAGTCGAACATGTTATTTGTCCCCTGATTCTTTGCTCTTCTTGAACACTCGATGTTCATAAAGATTTCTTTCCTAAATGTTCTATCCAGATTAACAATGTTTCCAATATTATTGTAACAGATTATAGAATAATACAACAAGATCGCGACAAAAGCTGAATTCGAGAGATATTTTTAAAAAAGTTTGTGAATACCTGAATGCCCGGAAACTTATGGTCGAGGGTGTACATAAATGGAAAATTCTAAACTTTTAAATGTAATAACGTTACGTCCATTACTCACTATTTTATCGCACTGTTATGTAACACGCGCAACGAGGACGTCTTGTTGCTACGTAGAAATGAAAAAACGAATTCTTTGTTATAGAACTTTCGTTTCTGAAGTCATTACAAACTAGGACAGATAACAGAATATCTTTCTGTTACATTTCTCGTAATTTTTCTGTATTACAACACGATCCTGTAATACACAGCGTAACAGTAACTACAATTTCAAAATTGCGTTCCTAAATAGCTTCCAGTAGAATTTTATCCTTGTGCATTATCTTCTAATCCTCGTTGATCCTGCGTCGAGAATAGCTAGACATTCAATTTTGATCCTCTTGTAAGGTATTTTACGGATTTATATCATATTTGTTCCTTGATGTCATCATTATAGCGTATGTAACTGACTGTAGTAATTATTTTTATTACTTTTGTAGTACCGCAAAGCAATTAACGTAGCGATGCATGCGTAGAAAAGAAAGTGTTTTCGAACATCTGGATAAAAGGAGACTTGGAAAAAGATTTGCATGACTTAAAATTGTGATAAATCATCTCTACTGAAAAAATGTTAACGGATCATTGACTAGTTAGGAATTAATTCACGTTTACATTTACATATTTCCCGAGATGTCTACTGCCTAAAATTTCTGGCCAACAATGTGTTAAGATGTAGCTTGAGTTAAGCGATCGTCGGCAGGTTTTAGAACAGATTGGACATGTTTTAGAGCACAATGAAACGTTTTAGAACAAATTAGAAATATTTTGGAATAAATAGGGGTCGTTTTGAAACAAATTTGGATCATTTTGGGGCAGATTAGGAATGTTTTAGAAGATGTTGGGAACGTTTAGAATAAATCGGGAATAGTTTAGTTCAGATTGAAACGTTTTAGAGTAGATTGGGAGCAGATTTAGAAGTTTTAGGATTAATTAGGAGTATTTTGAAATAGATAGGGAACGTTTTGGAACAAATTTGGATCATTTTCGAGCAGATTAGGAACATTTTAGGACAGATTGGGAATGTTCAGATTAAATTGGGAATAGTTTAGAAAAGTTTGGGAACATTTTAGCACAGATTGAGAAGTTTTAGAACAGATTGGGACATTTCACAACAGATTGGGAATATTTTAGGCCACGGTAGGTGCAGATGACAGAAAATCCCTGTATAAATTGAGATCTGCGAAATAATGATAACGATAAATTGTGAGTCACGAGCAACTGTGAAGTAAGTTTCACCCGCCCGTTGCAGAACCGTAGACATATCGAATCGAAAGGAGTGACGGAAAGGGAACCCGTTCTCCCGTTCACGCGGGCTTGGTTCACGATCTAATATGACGCACGCATGTAAATATGCCAACCACTCACGTGTCATTCCCTCCGTCAAGAGCTCTCTCATATACTCCGGTTAAAGGAGTAAGACCTCTGTCCCAGACAAAATATCTGCATATTGATCAAACACACGCGAATGCCGAAAATTATTCAACACCCCGTAAGCACGTCCGCTACCTCAGACTGAATCCAGAGATAAAAAAGACCTCAAATTAATCCCTTGACAACAACGCCGTTCTTGGTAGTCTTGTAAACTAATATCAAATAATCACGATTTATTGCACAACTTATAATCAGAGTTGTGCTAATTCGAATATATTGTACTTTGTAATTTCGCAATTTAATTACATTGTATTTCAATTACATAGTAACTTAATTATATCGAAATTCAATGACATAATTCAAACCTCCTAATTTCTAATTATTTTCACCGGAGAGTAGTTAAAATACAATGTAATTGAAATAAAGTTCTACAAGTTACAGTACCTATTAATATATTATTTTTAACTCGTAATTTTAATTTAATTACTCCGTAATTCGTAATTAATGTTATTTAATTATTTACTATTCTGTAATTCTACTCCAATTGCAATTTAATTGAATGGAGATCTGAATCACGAATTACAGCGTGATTGAATTACTTTGTAATTATAATTCCTGGAGTAATTTAATTGTAAATCTACACAACTCTGCTTATTGTGTTTGACTCCTTAACCTGGCATGGATATAATGTGAGGACGTATTTTAAAAACATCCCATTGTGTCCGCATTGTAGAACTTATTTAAGTTATGTAAACGTATTATGTATTTTATTGATTAGTACGGATTTTGTGAATTTGTGGTAATAATAAGTAGATCAAGAACAAACAAAGGAAAACGTTGAAATAATTTCAAAATATTACTGTGGATACTTCCCAACTCATTAAAATATTTTAGAAAAAATGTAAAAGTTAATACAGACAATTTTTGCCTAAAAATTCGAAATAAAACGTTTGAATACGTTTTACAATGATTTTAATCGGATTAGTACCTTAACCACTCAAAGCGCATTATTTTTAGTTTCATACTGCATAAATTTTATTAAATTCGAAACATAAGCATAATAATATTGATTTACAATTCTAGAATGGCACGTATATTATTATTCTGCGTTGGAAAGTTAATAGAAAAATATTACCATAAGTGAGTATTATAGTTGTTTTTGTTTAACAAACTGCTGGTAGCATCAGTAAATTTATATGTGAAAAAAGCGAGCAAAACTCAAAAGGAATAGAAGTCTTCCAAGTCGGCAAAATTGCCTCGAGTTCTGAATTTCGTCGAGTTCGAAGGGCTGAGTTCTCATTCCAATAATTAACGCAGCGCCCTATAATTTTGCTCATTATATATGCGCATAGAATACGCTCTTTCCGAGCGAGATTCTTGGAAAAAAGTTAGTTTCTATTGCGCAGGAGACGGTCGTATGGTCACCAGTTGTGCGGCACAACACGTGGGCGGGTGTCGTCGCGGTTTCGCTTTTTTCGCCCCTTTTGTACGGCATCGTTCGCATGCCTCGTGTGGAACGTCGGCGCGTGCGGCGCCAAGCGTCGAGACGCCCCTTCGAACAGGGAAAAAGAAATAATAGGACGGATACCATTCAATCGCCTCTGACTCACACGAAGTGCTTCGGATATGAACCCCCCCTCCCCCTCCGATGAAATTTAGTGGGGCTTATCGATCTACACCTATAATAAACGCGGATACCTGTAATCGTATCATCGCACGATCTTTTTCGGGAAAATTCGTGGAGAATTTGGAAAAAATACAACAGTAATTAACCAGAAGTGGGGAAATTTTCTTTGGAATGAAAATAAGAAATAGTTATTCGAAATAATTCATTTCAAAACGTTATTTTCAATGCAGTTATCTGAAAATAAAAATAATATCGATCCATTTGAAATAATAGCAATTTCAAATAATAAATTATTTCGTTTTTTTTTATTTCAAATGTGACAAAAGAAATTATCCTCGAAGATTTTATTTTAAGCAACCTTTACATCAATTCGCTTTGAGCAAAATTCTCTATCCTAAAGATGCAATTCTTGAAATAATAATAACAGAAAGATTTCATTTTAGGTTTTCTTTAGAAGAATTTGCTTTGAGCTAAACGCTTCTCCCAAAAAGTTCACTCTTAAAAAAGATTTTTGTCTGAATTCATCTGATACAGTCGCGAAACAAAAATAAGTAACATTTTTCAGTAAAATATAAATTCACCTGATTTACATGATATTGCAATCATTTGGTTCGTAGACGTTTGATTGATTGCAAAATCAATAAGCCTAGCAGAACCCTTTAGTCGATCTCGTTTCAGGCGATTAAAATATTATATCTTGTTACAGTATTTATCGAAATCTCTATAGGATATTCCGGAAAATCGTAGCGCAGCCGGGAGAAGGGTGATTCTATATGAAAAAGCGTTTTCCACAAAATTGGATTGTAAAATTGTGAAGGCACTCGGATGCGCTCAGCTAACACGCGACCGAATGTACTGCGTGAAAAAAAAATAAATGTAAAATGTTCAACAACAGTTTTTCGTTCGCAACTTCGTGTTCTAGAAAATACAATTTGAACTTTCGCCAGGTCTGCCTGCATTTGACTAAATTCCGACAGTACTGGTTCCAACTGGAATTTTTTTCGAAAACAGGTCTCGAAGCGAGAATTTTGTATTCTGCGGTTTTTGCATGTTTTCCTATGTAGAATAACTGAATAATCCTCTGTCGATTGCGCTGTTGGTATTTAGTCAGGGATGAGCATAGTGTGTGCGTGTGCGTATGTAAATGTTCAAATTTGGTATCGTTGAAAACGTAGTCATAGGCGAAAGAATGTTAAGCTCCCGATTTATTTTTCCAAGTGGAATTAACAAATCCCTTTATTTCATTTTTTATGTTACAGTGACTAAAATTTTAAATATCGAATGATGTCGATATTGATTTCCCGAGCTTTCATTATTTCGTTTTCCGCGCACACGCACGTATAAATAAATGTTTTCATGACGGGTAGGATTTCTCCGAGTGTTTTTTGCAAAAATATGAAACGGTCGCATGAAATCTATAGTTTGACACGGTTCGAAGTTTAAACGAAACATTTCAACTGTGATAGGCACAACAGAAATGAATCGAATTGAAATGAAAATAAACGATCGCGAAGTAATAGTAACATTTGGTTTACGAATTTATTTATTGTCTGTTTTCAGGTAAGTCGGGTTTCCATACATCTTCTTTCGTAGCTGTTGTAGACGCATTTGAATCAAGATCAAGAAATCTGTGCTTCCTTTTCTGCAGAGCTGGGAACAGTGTGTAAAACAATTTAAGGTAATTATCGCGTAACCATGACCAACGTGTGGGATAATCGTCAAAATCGTTTTATTTCCTAACTTTCGACCGGCGAGTATGTGCCGAACGTATTACTCATACATATATTCTGTGCATATGTTTTGCGCATATATGCAAATTTTATGTGCATAAATAACATATGTTCTTTGCATATATTACGCGCGTAAACATCTGCGATTCAGTGATCATGTGTCGTTCAGCTGTGAACGGGAATCATGGCTTGACCATTCTGTCAAATCTTTGAGCGAATTTCATAGTTATTAGATGAACTGAAAATAATTCGATTAAAAGAAGACTATAGAACGAAATCTCTAAGAACGATGTTACCTTTATACGTCAATGGAATGTTTACAAATAAATATTGAATTGTTATTATTAGACTGTGAAATAAAAATTATTTTCATCAGTTTTAAAAGATAGGAGACAAATACAAATTTCATTCCCTTTTTAATAGTTTGAATAACTTATATAACTAACATATTGATATTAATAAATTCGTTTAATCTTTTATATCTTGGAAGCTAGAAGATTTAGAGAAATGACTTCTTTTAATAGTATATTTTCGATCGACATTAAAAGAGACCATAGAAAATTATTAGTTAAATACATAGATTATACGTACAAATTTGCATAAAAAATGGATGAATAGTTAATAAAAAAAGTTGAAAAATATTAAATTTATTTTTAAATATCCTAAGTATAAATGATTGCAAATATTTTTTAACAAATTATATCATACCGAAAATTGCTCAAAATTGGTCCGTTACATTTGGATATACGTTCGCTTGTTAGTATGAAATTTGAAAAATCAGCTTTCCAAAGCTTCGGAAAACTTCTCGAGCAAGCGCTTAAACAATTGAAATTACAAATCACGGATTCGATCACTCCAAATCAGAATCACTACGGGTTTAGCACTGGGATGGATAAATGCGCGAACAAATACCTTGAATGTTTAAACACGTTTCATAAATGTTAATAAACGAATTTTCAAGTATCCATTTACGGTAAACGGAATCACGAATTACATCCGCAAAGCAATAGTCCGCAACGCCAGTACTCCCACATTTTAATTCGATTATCGATTCGGTTTCCAGAAAATAGCCACTTTATATCTTAATGTTGATTCCAGTTGAATTAACAATCGTTTAAATTAGTTTGATAAAATATTATTATCTCTCGAAACACGTAACTGTTCCCAACCGGCGTTTCAATTTTCAAAGACTAAAAATATCGAATTACCCTACGAGTTCGTTCCATTTTTGTATTCGGTAAAGAAAAATTTTTTTTACAAAAAAATTTTGTAACGACAAAGATATTGCAGGATAATAGAAACTACGAAGCCATAATAATAATAGCCGAATATCTGTGTCTATAATAGCCGAAATATCGAAACGTTTGAAGGCAACTATGGAGATAAAGAAAGTATCAAAGAAAGTGCGATACAGATTGCAGGTCAGAGTGAATAGATTCATACTGTGCAAGATCTGTTCTAAAAGAGATGATCCTAAAAATGTGAAATTTACGTTGAATGGAATTGTGATTTTCTATTCAAGATTTTATGAAGAAAAATCAGAACGGGCTAATTCTCAGAATCTGTAGAATCAAATAACGATATTTTGTCTGAGTGTTGGCTACAAAATTGTACGAATTTTACCAACGAAACTGACAAATACACCATCGAATCATCACGTCCACATTTCGTTTAGCGGAAAGCTTCGTTCTTGCAAAACTTACAAATCGAATGCATATTTATTCAGTGCCCAACAACGCCAGAAAAGGTGATATACTCGAAATGTTATGCGCAACCCGGTCGCAAAAGATCCTTTTGTCCGCGTACGTTTCATTTAATTTCGTACGAGCCGAGGCGCGTCCTCCGAACGAAAACAAAAAGCGATGAAAAAAAGCGCTTTTGAGNTTAATGTTGATTCCAGTTGAATTAACAATCGTTTAAATTAGTTTGATAAAATATTATTATCTCTCGAAACACGTAACTGTTCCCAACCGGCGTTTCAATTTTCAAAGACTAAAAATATCGAATTACCCTACGAGTTCGTTCCATTTTTGTATTCGGTAAAGAAAAATTTTTTTTACAAAAAAATTTTGTAACGACAAAGATATTGCAGGATAATAGAAACTACGAAGCCATAATAATAATAGCCGAATATCTGTGTCTATAATAGCCGAAATATCGAAACGTTTGAAGGCAACTATGGAGATAAAGAAAGTATCAAAGAAAGTGCGATACAGATTGCAGGTCAGAGTGAATAGATTCATACTGTGCAAGATCTGTTCTAAAAGAGATGATCCTAAAAATGTGAAATTTACGTTGAATGGAATTGTGATTTTCTATTCAAGATTTTATGAAGAAAAATCAGAACGGGCTAATTCTCAGAATCTGTAGAATCAAATAACGATATTTTGTCTGAGTGTTGGCTACAAAATTGTACGAATTTTACCAACGAAACTGACAAATACACCATCGAATCATCACGTCCACATTTCGTTTAGCGGAAAGCTTCGTTCTTGCAAAACTTACAAATCGAATGCATATTTATTCAGTGCCCAACAACGCCAGAAAAGGTGATATACTCGAAATGTTATGCGCAACCCGGTCGCAAAAGATCCTTTTGTCCGCGTACGTTTCATTTAATTTCGTACGAGCCGAGGCGCGTCCTCCGAACGAAAACAAAAAGCGATGAAAAAAAGCGCTTTTGAGCCCCCCCCCCCGCGGTACAAATTACTCGCGCATCGCGCCGCAAGCTCGGGTCTCGGGACGACCATTTAAGGGTATAAATTTTGCCGGAGCGTGTCTCTTCCGCGGAACGGGGCATTCGTTGTTCTTCAATGCATAGAAGCGCGGCTTAAAAATACATTGACGTTGCGCTCGGGAAAAGAAGACGAACAAGAAGAAGAAAAAAATTGCACGACACGGAAAAGGGTGATACGAGGGTCATCCGTAGAAGAGGCCTCCCGGTAAGAGGAGAACGCTCAGGCCTCCTTCACGTCGCAAAGAGGGTGGTCTTTAACATCGAGGAGAGCGCACATACGGCCGAAAAGATCCATGAAAATTTATGAGCAGTCTCGAATATTCCCGCCCGAACGAACAAACGCCCTCTGTTTCGTTAAACATATTCTCGTAGGGCCGGCTATTCTTTGCGCCAGCGGTTCCCAGCGCGTCTCTACCCAAAAGTTAACGCTAAACCTAAGTACTTTCATTTTCTATGAATGTCCTTAACACTGGAACGAACGCCCGAACATTTTCGGCAAGGTTGTTTATTAGGATTATTTATAATTTCATTTATCCTATCTTGATTTTATATTTTTTATAGTACTCCTTCTAGCCACATAAGTTTTTTATTACAATATTCTATTTTTCACTGGAAAATAAAAATTAATTATTAGTTATAGAATTTAATATAATTTTCGTTACAAAAACTAATAGAGAAGTAATAAGGAACTAAAAACTAATAAATAATGCGACCTTTCACATGTTGTAAAGTACAGAAGTTAGTCAAATAATGAGAAAGATAGTTTCGCTGATAGCATCGCGTGTTTCGGTGCAACGAGGAGGCAGCTCCCGGAGACTTATATTTCATTGTATTGACAGAACATTATTACTTCTAAACATATTCGTCACGGCGACGATCGGAATCAGATATATTTCCTTTTAAGGCCTCTTTAACGAGCTCTTACTACTTCTGTTTCTACTCTATCGTAAATGGATGGTAGTTCCAGTAATGCACATTTAATGTACGGGCCGATTAGGTTTCAGACGTCGAAATGTTTTGACGCATTTTACGCATATATGATAAAATTGAATCGCCAGGTAGAAAATTTTGAAAAAACATTAGGAGAATTTAAGGATACTGTTGCTTTATTTTTAATCCATTGCCATCATTAAAAGAGAAGAGACACTTTCATCTATCTTATGTTTCTCACAATTAGCTTAGACAATTTTTGTTTCGCATTCGTATTTTAATTATTACGTTACCGCAAACGTGAGATCTCTGAGACAGCAATATTAATTTCACAATTAAAAGCATAACAAAATAATTTTTAGTCTGTTTTTAATCTTGTTCACAATATGATTGAATATGGTAAGTTTGCATCAATATATTGGAAATTAGGGCTAGTTATGTTTATGGATTGGATTAATAAGTGTCAACCTTTGCTGGCAATATTGTAAATTTTGAGTCTCGCACGTCTGTGATTACGGATTGATAATTTTGTCGGAGCAATCAATATACTTTCGTCATTTTTAGGGGACATTGGCACATTTAATGCTCGGTACCTGTTTCATTAGTTTGTGATAAACAAATGCTGCGTCGACGTCAAAGTAGATCATTTTCAAAACTACAATCGTGCGAATTTCAGTGGTAAAAATTTGTTCGATGGGAGTCAGGCGAGTTGGGAATCTCAGCTACACACCCTTCGGCCATGACTGCGAAAAAGTACCCGCTGAAATCTCTTCCGTCTTGCCAGATTCTTCTGGAATCTGGAAGCTTTTTCCTCGAGCTTTCCCCCGCTTTCCTTTCCACCTTTCCAACGCTTTGTGCAACACGCAGAGTCCCGAGGAAAATTGGTTCCTCTGTGTTTTATAATTACCATAATATACCTTTGTTATAAGAACCACTTTCCAGCAACTGTATTCGAGTAATCGAATGATCGTGTTTAGTACGCCGACGAGTATTCGTTATAGTATATTTTATTCTCTTATCTGTAGCTTTTTGCCTGTAACAATTTCAGGCGTCGTTTTACGTTTTATAGCAGGTAAAACTTGCACTTAAAGAGAAGTGCTTTAAGCTGGCACGAAATGCTTCACGCGAAAGTGCATTCTACGTATACCTATTAAATGACTTTTTAATAATCTCCGCAATTCTGCTCGAAGTCGCATCTCCTTCGGTATAAAAATGTACTTATTTACGGTTTCACATAAAAGGTCAAATTACAATTGTATGTATCTCGATTCTGTCGCAACT